TCCGTAGGTTTGCGGAATGAAATATTCTACTCGGCATCCGTTTTTGATTTTTGCTCGGTCCCGTACTACCCAAATTATGGTCCTTGAATTGTTCTGTACTCGCGGTCTCTAGAAATTTTCAAAAAAAGAAGGAATCTTCTACTTGTTTTCTTTTGTACTGCGGACCGTGGCAGACGTTAATGTTCTACCTCTCAGGTCAAATAGTGTGTATTTAAATCCTATGACCAGTACTTATAATTCTCTTCTGAAAAGAAACATCTCATTATTACTACCACTACTAGCACACAACAACACTGCCAAGAAAACTATATTAAAGACAGTATGAACGATTTCTGCGGACGGAAGATTGTTCCCATCGTCATTGTTGGAAGGGCTGAGAAGCGTACAGCAAAACATCTTGGGTTGAGAAGCGTACAGCGAAAAGTCTTCTCGCAGCGCTTCCACCAATGGCGCTGGCAGCAACCGCGCGCCTCTAGCAACCTGCTCACTGCTTTTAACCAATGAGTACAGAACTTGACTGTAAAGCGCAAATTGCTTTGAAAAGTGAACCATATCATCCTTCTATTCTATGAAGCGCTAACTTTGTGTGACGGTCTGTCGGTATGTATACCAGTCGGATCGGCCGGCTTCGTCGGCCGATCCTCCTTCCGCGTGTGAAGTGGGTCCCTGTGAGAAGTTTTCCATGAGAGGGCCAGTCGGATCGGCCGGCTTCGCCGGCCGATCCTCCTTCCGCGTGTGAAGTGGGTCCCGGTGAGAAGTTTTCCATGAGTTGGAGGGCCAGTCGGATCGGCCGGCTTCGCCGGCTAAACCTCCTTCCGCGTGTGAAGTGGGTCCCGGTGAGAAAAGTTTTCCATGAGTTGGAGGGCCAGTCGGATCGGCCGGCTTCGCCGGCTAAACCTCTTTCCGTGTGTGAAGTGGGTCCCGGTGAGGAGTTTTCCATGAGTGGGAGGGCCAGTGGGATCGATGTTCGGAAAAAATATGGTTTTGAGAATTTTCTCTTTTGGAACCAAACAACGAATTTTTGAAATTTGTAGCTCACAACTATGCGCACGTCCCGCCCACTGTGGGCGGAGCCTAACTTAGTTCATGTGTGTTCCGTACATCTTCATCTCTTACTACCCAACCCACCCTTGACCCGCCCCCTCCAACTGGCTCTTCAGGTGATTCCGAATTTCCGGACAGACAGACAGACAGACGTTGCCGTTTATATATATATATAGTAGGATGTCTGTCCGTCCGCAAAATGTTTCTCGGGTTCGACACGTTAGTGTTAGGAGAGAATGCGACCGCTAGGCAAACCGGAAACCGATTGGTGCAGATGTATCAATCCAATGTTTTGATTGTGATAACAGCATATATAAGACAACCATTCGGTACGCTCCGAGCCATTGCACGAGCTGCTCGGGTGGCAGCTGGACGTGTGCTCGTGCGGGGCAGGGCGGGGGTGGGATGGAGGGGTTCTCCCCTCTGCCTTCTTCCCCTGAACGTGCTCAGCTGGACCAGCACGTGCAGGGTAGGGGAACAAGGGAAGATTGGGTGAGGGGGTGCGTAGCGCACGTTTGGAGCACACAGCAACGGAGGAGGATACAACCGCCAGCAAAACTGCAAGCCAGTCCTATCAAAGTCACAACATAAGGATGTTGTTTTGATTGTAATAATACCTTCAACTACTAAGACAACCATTTAGTACACTCCAAGCCATCGCATAAGCTGCTCGCGTGGTAGCAGGACGTGAGCTCGCGCGTGGGTTGCTCCATCTATTACGATTCGATCAAGACAGCGCAGTATGAGTGGCTAAGTGAATGAACAAATTCCGTATCCATTAGAAAGCATGGTTTATCGAAGCGGCGAAACTCGAGTACTTTACTATGAATGTTCAAAACATCAAACAACCCTAGATGCTGCATGAAAGTCGGATCTTGGCAGAAATAACGCCTCAACAATGTACAACGATATTGGATGAGAACGACGCATATGACAAAAAAATGCTTACAAATACACAAATAAAGTTTAAAATGCTTGTCTAATATTATACCTGCCCATTTCTAAATGAAAATGAAATTATCGTTCAACATAAAAGCTCATGCAACAAAGCAATACTCACACAGAAGTAACCGTAGTTAAATTAGGATAGAATCAACACATAAAGCTACCGTCCACTACTACACCTGTCGAGATGAACTTGAATCTCCAGCGTTTATGACATCACCCTGGAGGCCCGTATCTTCGTCCTGAAAAACCGTCGGTACAAACATACATGAAGTCGTTCTCGAATTTGATAGCCTACTGTATTTGGTTTTGAGAGGCGTTGCATCAGTAGGATCATCAGCACCGTCCCATAGCAAGCGGAATTGCCCTCTCATGCAAGCCATTAGACATATGGGAACCAGTGTACATGGTACCAAATAGATGAGAGCTGGTTGAGCCATTTTCATAATTGAAAGAGCGAAGAACGTCAGAATCAACCCCAGTCCATAACCTGTAATAACAAAAATTCGTAGGAAAAATTAGTTGAAAAGAAAAACGTGTACTATTAACACAAACCGATCGAGCACAGGATTCCATATGAGATACGAACGCGTTCCGAGAATCCATTCATTGTGAAACAGTGAGTGACCAGGTAGCCTCAAATATGTTTACTAATTGAAATTATCCATTTCAATAAGGAAAACCTACCACAATGAGAAAACAAAATTAATTACATTACTGATAGAGCCTCAAGGCCTCTACGATCATGTAGCCAAAGCACATCTTCACTGTAGATTCAACATACGGGTGAGGTCGTATTCAGTTGCTATCTTTTAAGACCCTCTATATAATGCCCGCTATAACATCTGATGAACTACCACATAAAATTACTGCCAGCGGCTATACGAGAAATCCCTGGGATTCGGTGGGCGTGGCTGCGTACTTCAATGTAACGTGGCGATGGATGTGCCTTTGATGAGATATTTTCATTTTGACACAAGCTCTATTGATTTTTCTGTCTAATACTGGATAGATGACAGTTGTCTCAAACTTGAATATTTCGAGAGTAAGCCATTCTACGCCATGTCGAAGCCACGCGTCCTCCGTCTCAGGATGAGAAGGAGAGTGGGTTGTCGAGCAAAAGTCGTCACAGCTTTACTGCATCTGAGAGGAAAAGTAGTGCATGCTCATGACGAGTGAAGAAGCAGAGTAAACAACTATTGGCCTGTCTTAGATTAGATGATTAGTATTGCACTGGAGAACACGATAGGGGAAGGAGAGGGCGGTACTGAGGGGAATTTTGAACATCCCTTGAGATACACTTGACATGGAATTATGCTGGCGCAGAGTGACTTGCACCGGGATAAATGATCTTGCTGATTCATATCCAATCAGTACACCCTTATAATAGACCAGTCGGCTCGCCGGCTTACGCCGGCGCGTCTCCTTCTGATACGGCCCGGCTGAGCTGGGCGGGCGCGGCTTCGCCGCGCGTATTTTCTTTCACATATTTCTAGACTCAACTGATATCCGCCTTTTGTTCTGTACTCCACTTTCCGGTGTCTGAAGTACTCTTGAGCTATTTTACAGATTCTTCGTCTGACTCCGCCCACCTCGGAGCAGGCCCCGCCCACAATGTTTGTGCCCACAATCTTCACCGGCGACCCTCTGCTGACCTTAATCCACTTTTTCCGGTGTCTGGAGTGCTCTGAAACTATTTTACAGATTTTTCGTCTGACTCCGCCCACCTCGGAGCAGGCCCCGCCCACAATGTTTGTGCCCCACAATCCTCACCGGCGACCCTCTGCTGACCTTAATCCACGTTTTTTTCCGGTCTTTGAAGTGCTCTGGGACAGTTTTAGAGAATTTTCGTCTGGCTCCGCCCACCTCGGGCTGGCCCCGCCCACAATATGTATACCCCACATTTCTCAATCGGCGACCCCTTGCTGACCTGAATTCACTTTATTCCGGTCTTCGGAGTGCTCTGGAACCGTTTTACAGACCTTTTTGTCTGGCTCCGCCCACAATGTTTTTGCCCCACAATCCTCACCGGCGACCCTCTGCTGACCTTAGTCCACTTTTTTCCGGTGTCTGGAGTGTTCTGGAACCGAGCTACAAACTTTTAAAATGAATACCCTGCGATTTAGGGCAAGCTCCGCCCACTGTGGGCGGGTCTCAACACACTTTGAGCGTGCCCTATATTCGCCAGATATTTACATTCTACACTGAGTTTTTTGCGACTTCCAAACACTCTCGCGAACCGGGTTACTGAATTTTGCGAGAAGCACCGCCCACCTTGAGTACGCCCCGCCCATTTTGGATGTGTCTGCCACAGTTAGTCTGGCGACTCCTTACTAACCTTATTCCCTTTTTTCCCATCTTTAAGCTGCTCCGGAAGCGAATTATGAACATTTTTCTGCGGAACCTCTCTCCAAGTCGTTCTTCAGGTCGAACCGAATTTCCGGACAGACAAACAAACTTACAAACAACAAACAGACGAAGCGAATCATACAGTCCTCATCATTGCGGACCGGTGGGGCGTGTCAGCCAGAAGGAGTGCGCACACTGTTGAAGCCGTTCTCAGCCTTTTTGTTGCAACGCGTATGCGACAAAAAGTGGTAGAAAACGAGTAATACGAAGGATATATACAGTAATGCACTTGTTCGCTTCAAAAACTGGTGCAGAACGACTTTGCCAAACCGCACCAAATGCAGCCGCACTGCCACGCCCCACCGGTCCGCAATGATGAGGACTGTATATATGGGGTGATTATCAATCTACTAGTGGTAGTTTTAGTGCAAATAGACGTTTTCATACTGTTTTTCAATGTGTCCATAGGTCCGCTTAAAATTACCACTGTGGGTGGCTCGCTGCAGATGAAGGGGCGTTTCAGGCAGTATGAATGTCCACAACTCGTCCTCTGTCACCTATTGAAGCTTGTATGCGGCGCAACTGGTACAAAACGAATAATACGAACGATATGACACAGCCTTGTAACTTGCTCGCTAACTGGTGGAGAACGGGTTTGGCAGCTTGCCAAATTCATCACGTCTGACACGCACCTTCGTCCGCAGCGAACTAGACCTTGTACTGTCGAGGCAATTCTAAGCATAATCACACATTCCTCGTCCCACAACAATATCAATATGGGGCACTGGTTGCAAAAAATTTTCAAGACAGGTAAACTCTTTAGCTAAAAAAAACCAACCTGGTATAATAATGTCGCCTAGGCCAAGAATTGTCATGTGGAAGCCTTTCTCAATATCTAGATCAACACATGATATCATCGGATCAAAGTGTGGCACTTGCATTAACATGGGAAACTGAAAAGAAGCGGGTCAATGGGAGGTGCTATTTGACTATCTGAAACCTTTACTCACTTTTTCAGGTAACTGTGCATCTACAGGAGGCATAGGGTAATCATCATTACCGCTGCTTGAGCAATCAATACCTGTTGCCACTTCCAACATCACAGAGCAACCACTACTAGTGAGGAATGGGGTAACGAATACCATCACCACATCGTAAACGAACATGCATAGCATCAGCACTGAGATCCACTGAAAAGCAAACTTATCTCACAAATTAAAGCGCGAATTAGATCACTAACGTTTCTTTCTTTCAATAGGGAGAAAAACGGAATTACCTTCACGCTGGGTAATCGTAGCGACTTCAATATGTGAAGACAAAATGTGACATTGATGAAGTCCAAAAGTATGAATGCGTACGGTGTACGGCGGTAAATAAACCATATGACACAAATGCCAAATGACAAAGTAAATACTATTAATTGAACCACAGTCGGTCTCCCGTCAGGAATACAGCCTATAATTCCAAGTTTTGAGGTATTGGTTTCTTTCCGCTCTTTTGCTTTTGCAGTCAAGCTCTGGAAATAAAGCTGTACTGGGTTGAGGAAGTGTCATTGTGCTTCTGATTACAAAACAAATTTTCATTGTAACTTCGAGTAATAGCTATCCCTCACAAGAACTCGTTTTGCTGTGAGCCGAAGACCTTGAACATCCAGATTTGGACATTGATGTGATAAAATCCAATGAGTATTGACGGACCGGAAAAATGAACTCCAGATGGGGCATACAGGGCTATATGGCATGTGAGAAAGAACCTCTCCCCACCTCAAGTTCTTTCATGTGGTGTGTAATTCTTTTGTGCCTGCGAGGTTGTTAGGTGGAACTGTTTATTAACGGCCTAACGTTTCGACCAGATCGTCGTCCTCGGAGGCCAAGTCCACCGCGGCAAGAGCGGAAGAAGCCGCCCAGTCAATGTTAGTAGTATAAGTTATCTTTCATGTGGAAAAGGGTTCCCCGCTAATCCGCTCTCATTTTGTCTTATTTGCATCATCTGGGTCAAGGCCGTCGTGGTAAGCTGCCCTCGTCACTTCACTGGCTGAGTGTACACCGTAGTTTCCATACGATTCGTTTCACTGGCAGAGACATGGGTGAGTCTTCTGGCCCAACCTGAGTAGTATCACCAGCTCCCTGGCGACTGTTGGAGGTGGACTGCGACGTTCGTTCTCCTTACCGAACGTAAACTTCCAACAAGCGTTAGCGAAAGTCTTCGTTCTCTAATCTGGCGAAACCAGTATAAATCGCCGGATCATCAGTATCTCTCACGTTCTCCCCGAAGGTAACTCTCAGCCTGTGTTCACACTTTCCGTCAGCGAGCGTGCGGCAGCGTTGCGAGCGAACGCCAGCGCCGACGACTAGGAAAGCATAGTATCGATCGAGCGACGCCGTCCACCAGTGTATGCCATCGTCCACCAACATCCAGTGTGGAAAGTATGGGGAGCATGAGGGTAGCAGGCAGTTGGAGTAGGCGTCGTGTTCAACCGCACCGTACAACTGCTAAAGCACAGAATTGTGCAACAATGCTGTATGGTGCAGTGCAGTTCTACGGTGCAGTTGCACACGCCACAATTTCACGACGCGTAATCCAGGTGTCTGCTACCCTCCTACTTCCCCATACTCTCCACTCCTGACACGCTGGCAAACGCTGGTGGATGCTTGCGTTCGCTGGATCGATATCTGTACTTTCGTGGTCGCTAGCGCTGGCGTTCGCTCGAAACGCTGCAGTACGCTGGTGAAGCTGCCGCAAAATATGAAGCATGAAGGCGGCCTCAAGGGTGTCTCGCTCTCATGTAAAGTCGCAGTGCACGTGTGTGCACCTAAAGAGCCCCCAAATCAAAATGATAGAGGTATAGACCGATTTTTTGAAATGTGCCCTGCCAAGATATCGTGATGGCATTGTCAGGAGATAAACAAAGACTGAGGAAAAGGAAAATGAAGACGGCGCGTACAAATACTCCCTCAACTAATACATCTCAAGAACCGAGCCAAGTCGTCGAAAAATGGAATACGCTAACGCCTATTTACAATAAACTGTTCCTGAAACGATAATTGAAAAAACTCACGATGATGAGGAATCCAAGTGAACAACGTTGAATAACAGCATTCGCAGAATGACATATTTGAAAGCACTGCCATTATACAAGCATAGACACTTATTGATCCAAACAAAACCAGCATCACGTTGAAAAAAGTAACTAAAATACCCAGCTTTTCTGATTTGTAATTATAAACAGTACTTGAAAAAAAAAGCAAAGTGAAAAAGATAATTTACCGAAAACGGGACGGAAAAAGAATCCAATCATGAGAATACCAACGAGAATAATCATCAAGATAAGAATGGCAAGGAAATTTGAGCATCCACTTGAATCTGGTTGAGGTGAGTCGGCTGCAGCTGGGGCTCTATTGACAACCAACTTGTCCTTTCCGGCTCTGGAGTTATCCTCAACTTATTTCGGTTCGGTATATCCATAGCTATACTAAATACCTGTGCCGGAAGAATGCCCACACGCCTCCTCCCGATACACATCCAAAGGCAAGGAAACATATCACCACCATTGATAGATCTATCGGTCCTCCAGGCGGTCTATGGAATCGCAGTTGAAGTCGAGAAACATTACGATCCACGGCGAGGCCCTAAAACATGGTCTGATTCGTACTTTGATGGCTAACAAAGTATGCCGTGGGCAGGAAACAAACGAACCAGAATATCTTTTTGAAAGACATGCGCATAGAGAAAGAATGTCGGAATTGCCTCGGTTGCATTGATATAAGGATCGTAAAAGTCAGAAAACTGAAATTTTTCGATAAACCTGGAAATGAAGCGAAATACTAAAAATGAAATCACAAACCAAATAATCATGCCAACGCGCAACAAATGAACGTCCTTTCTCGACCAAAAGGATGGCGTTCTCTGCGCCATACTTCTTCAACTGATTCACCTAAAGAAAGTGTTCACATTCCAGAAGGAGATTCACGCAGAGAAAAGAAAAGGAATACGTTCCCTGGGCAATATTCACATTTAGTGCTTCTTTCTGCGAGATTCAGGCCACACTCTGATGGAGGAATTTCAGTGGTGGTAGACTGGGCCAGAGCTCTGCCTCCAAGGGTACTTTGACGTTCAGAGACAGATTGACCTGATTACCAGAAGTGAAAACACTTTGCACGAGCTGGAATTACAGGTCTGTTTGGCGCGTGCACTAGTAACGCATGTGACATGCGTTTTCGCGCCTAACACTGCTATAGAGGTGTTCAGAGGTATGCGTTCTTCGGTACTCCGGAGGGCGGGATTCGAACCAGCTCCACCCATGATGAAAATTCCACACAAAATGTGGACTGAATTTTGAAGAATGGGACAGTGAAGAGTAGAAGAACCTAGACCGTGAAATAACCCTTAACTACGTGAATATCCACTCGCGCGAAGACTGATCAAGTAAGAGGACCAACCAGAGTCGTTGTAATTACTTATGCGATCAAAAACATTTACCAAAAATCTTTCCTGTTATATCCATCAAGGTTGCTGACAAGTTGCAACATTTCCTTCGTATACGATGCTCAACAAGTGATTTTTTCCCGTTATGCCAATAACATTCTCAGCTTTTCGGAATTTGAAGGGTACGTCGACATTGGTTTAGGCGCCGCAAAAAATTTCTGCCATTTTTCCAAGACGTAGTGGATGACCCAAAGCTTGGACACCAACAAGACGTCGTGACTAGAAAAGTGTGTATGAACAGTACATTTTTCCCAGTATTCTGACGGTTTTTCAGTGCCTAGTGCCGCTGCTCTCCGACATACTGGCGACATCAAGATTGTGTCAAAATTTATGAGAACCCAAGAAGATATGATTGACATCTTTTCGCTTAAATCGGCGCAACTTCCGTGCCTCGCAGACAAACTCTACCTCCACGTACGTCAACGTCGCAGCCAAATTCCAAATGATTAATCTGATAAATATTAGAAAAAGGTTTTCCAGCTTCTCTCTTCTTGCAACCTCGGCATGGTTAGTTGTAAGTGTTAATTTCTTCTGCCATACGAGGTTGTTAGGTGGAACTTTTATTAATTAGGCCTAACGTTTCGACTGGTTCGTCGTCTTCAGAGGCCTGAACATGTTTCAAGGTCTTGATTTACAAACTACCCCACCAAGCGCCTCGTCAACTCTAGCGGTTCCGACATCGTGTCAGGCCCTCGAGACGACAATAACGTGAATCCACTCACCAACGGTTCCACCGTTTGCGCTGAGAAAGTCCGCTGCCACACGAGAGCGTTATTTGGACGTAAATAAGGACTACTGCGTGGTTTCCGTATAATAAATTTATGCGGAGACGCACGTAACGCTCTGTCATTCTACAGCTCGCCGTGCGGTATAAACGGTAGTAGGTCATTCGCGATTGAGGGACACTCATCTCGGTTATTCATTCTGGGTTTTCTAACGAATATCCAGAATGCCTCTGATGCTTTTCTCCCCGATATTTCCCTCTCATGTGCCAGCAACCTGCACGTTATTTCGGAATCTATACTATAGTGCTCCTCAACTTTATGCCTCCCCAGAGCTGATGTAAGAGTACCACGTCTCATACTGGCAAGGTGTTCTTTAACACGAATGGCCAGAGCTCTTCCTATCTCCCCGATGTATGTGGAGTTACATGCTTGACAACGGATTTCATGTATAACTCCCATATGCGCACAGTCGCCGATTTTTCCGTGCGGGCATGTAACGCAGTTTTCTGATGTGCACTGCCTTGTCGTAGAGTCTGTTACGAACCAGTTGCTGCGATGTTTCCATTTGGTATATTTACCAACTGAACATTGTCTTGCAACTGTGCTCTCACAACACTCCGTTGCAGCGGTGACTTCATCAGATATGAAGGGGATACATAAAGGTAGCTTGTCTCGACGCGGTACCTCTCGTCGTCTACCGATCTGCTGTCTCATCCGAGAGGGCGGTGCCGTATAGCCGTCCGCAGTGTTTATTTTCGAAGCCTCTCGTGATTCTATTCGTTCTACGTCTCCCGCGCACACTCCTGTTGCCCTTCTGAACATGTTGCGAACAACAGCGCGCATCACGGGTGCCGGATGTGCCGACGTAGCATGAATGAAGATGTTTTTCGAGCTGCTTTCACGGTACCACTTCACGCGGGTTACGCCTTTGGACACATTAACTTGCGTGTTGAGAAATGGTAACCAACCGTCCTTCGAGGTTCCCCGAGTCAGTCTAATGTACTGCGACTGCTCGTTCATTATGCGACAACACTCATCCATTTCGGATTGTGTTGACGCTATTATGAAACAGTTGTCTATATATCTGCAGTACATAAACGGTAAGCGTTCCAGTACCGGTTCTTCTATTTTACCCATAAAGCAGACAGCGAGAACTGGTGCAAGACGATGACCCATGGCGAGCCCTCTGATTTGTGAATAGTATGTACCTACCCACTTGAAAATGACGCAATTCAAGCATTCCTTGATAAGAGTCATTACATGCGCTTTCTCTTGTCCTGAAGTTCGTATGCTAGCAATATGCCTGTCAAGCATCTCGGATAATGCTTCAAGGCTTGCTTGTTTTGGACATTAGTGTAAAGCGATGTAACGTCAAATGGCTCCACCACGGCATTGTTTGGAATGTCACAGTTGTAGCTTTTCGAGGAAGTGATTCGTATTTGGCAAGTGAGAGGGAACCATGGGTAACAGTTGGCTGACTGTAGTGTTGAGAAACCATGATGTTCTGTCGGTTGATCCCCCACACAACTAATGATAGGGCGGATCTTGGATGCATCCGCAGGCATTGACAGCATATTATTCTGAAGCGCCAGTTTATGGGTCTTCAGAATGGCTGTAGAAAACTGGTCAATTCGGGTTGTCCAATTTGAGTCTACCGAGCACTGTTCATCGAGCCCTGCCGATTTTCCCACGCACAACCACGTATGGTTGAGACGTTTGCATTGCGATGAAAAGTCCTTCTCAGTTGCGCGGCGATAAACGCTAGAGTCCCGCAAATGGACTTCCGTTATGGCATGGTCAAGAGATTGTGTCATAACTACGAATTCACCACCCTCATCGCTCACGGATATAGTGCCGTTAGTTCTTAGCTCACGCAGTTCTCTGAACCCCAACCATTACTCGCGTGTTAGGTTTGTATTTCGATACCGTCTGTAACGATTCAAAACGGCTGAAATACCAGTTGATAACATTCTGAACTTAACATCGACTTCGTGTGATGGCTGAACTCTATGGAATGTGTGTGGAAACGGTACACTCATAAACGATCCTTGATAAAGGCGCATGATTTGCGGTCTTTCGCGACGCTCGCTATTCATGCGCAGTAGATCCCCTAGCCTTTGCACCCCTAACCACTTTCCGAAACACTTGTGCAGTATGTTCTGAGCTGGTGAAAAGGACGGACCAAGACATCTAAAATGACATCTAAAATGGAGTGACAAATAGATGTTATCATTGGATGGTCTTCTGGGAGACGGCATGTTGATCCGATCTTCTTATTTGTGATGAAGCGGAACAGCACGCCGGTCGTCCTGCATCGTTGGAGAAACTTGAGCTATTGACGGGCGGCGACTACCTTCTGGCGAAGCGACATGGCTTCGCGGACCAGAGAGAAGAGGTTTGGCGGTACAGTTCGTAAGAATCTCCAGCTTCTCTCTTCAGAAGAAATAGCACTTACATTAGAAAAAGGACTGTCGGAAGAACATTGCTAGGATTAAATGGTAAAAACTCACCCAAAAACTGCCCAGTTCGGAAAATAAGAGGGCCAAAATAGAGCTCCCTATGCGTTACCTTTATCAAACATTGAACGATTGGGACAAAGGCTTCTTCACGTACTGTGAGTAGGCTTACCCTTTAAATGGAATGTTAATGTTACAAAGTGTGGTGGACGTTTTCTCGTCGATCAGAGCACTCCTTTGTTGATAATACCTGGTCCCGACTATCTAATAATCTGTAAATGTGGGCCGAAGGGTTAAGTTGGTATTTTGATTTTTTTTCAACCGGACGGCGTCTTTTTGAAAAGCTCTTACCTTTTAATCCTAGCACTTTGCGTTCTCTTTACAGTTCATTTACTAATACTTATATGATTAATGCTATTAGGTTGTCCGGAAAGTTCTCAGCGTTTTGGGTGTTTCACTTTAAACGATCATAACTTTCTTAATACTCATCGGATTTAATCGAAATAGGCACCATTCGAATCAGCACACTTTTGCCAATGTGACAGCAGTCGAGAAATCCCATCAAAGAAAAAACTGGGTGGTCGAGAATCCACGAAATCTACGAAGGTCTTTTTTGCCTGGTCCTAATTGATGAAGTATTTTTCAGCAAGGAAGTTCTGAAAATGTTTGAAAAGGTGATAGTCGGTTGGTGAAAGGTCTGGAGAATATGGCGGTTGAGGTAGAACTTCAACCCCCAATTCGTTCAATTTATGGATAGTGATTTGTGAAACGTGTGGGCGGGCGTTGTCATGCAAAAGAATCGGACCCTTTCTTTTGATAAGTGTTGGCTGCATCTGACAAAATTTTCGGTACAATTCGTCGATTTCTTCAAGTAGGGTTCTGCTGTGATGGTTTGGCCTGGTGATAAAAAGTTATAGTGGATCACACCAGCCGATGACCACCAAGCCGTGACCAGAATCTTTTTTCGTGAGGGTTCGGCTTTGAAAATTACCTCGGTGGTTCGTCGAAATCCAACCACTGTCCGGAACGTCTCCTGTTATCATACATGACCCATTTTTCATCACAGGTGACAATTCGGCCCAAAAACAGGTCGTTTCTGCTGCGCAAAAGCAATGCAGAAGGAACCTCGAGACGTGCCGATTCCTGCCGGTCACTCCGATTGTGGGGCACCCAATTGTCGAGTTTTTTCACCTTCCCAATGCGTTCCAGACCATCTGCAACAGTGGATTTGCCAAGGCCTAGCTCTTCTGCTATCTCTCGAACTGTTTGGGATGGGTCAGCCTCCAAAATCCCCCTAAAATCCTCGTCAGATATTGCTTTAGGTCGACCGCTATGAGGTTCATCTTCAAGGCTGAAATCTCCAGAACGAAATTTGTTGAACCATTGCCGCACAGTGCTTTCTCTAGCACTATTGGGCCCCCACACCTGGTTAATTTGTTGAGCTGTTTCGATTGCGGATTGCCCCAATTTATAGTCGAAGAAAAAAATCGTCCGAAGTGCTCTTTTCACATGCTTGAAAAAATCTTGAAAAAAGGGGGTTTATCAAGCAATGGTGAAACGGCAATTATACCATCAGATAGCGCAAGAAATTCTCTACAGGATGTGCTACTGAGAAGCAAGGCAGAATGAGTTTTAATCAGCAGTGAATGTACAAAAAATAGGTGCACAAAACGCTAAGAACTTTCCGGACAACCTAATATTAAAGCCGGCTGCGAAGTCGATGCACATGGGCATCGGCCTAATTGCGTCGACTCTGCATCCCACAAAAGGTGGGACTGACATTAATCTGGCAAATCGATGTGAAACATAATCCACTCGAAATCTAGTCTTAAAAATGTTGACCACGACCTCAATGTCGCGAAC